ACGCACGTTTTGCTAACTAGTTTACTGTTCTGGCACGGAGTACGATGTAAGTATTTATGCTTTAGCATCTCGCATGAGTGTGAGTGTTAACATGACAGCATGCTTACCATGTGGCTAGAGGCCTTATTTGGCCTTTTTGGTGCTTCCTTTGTGAGGCTTTGTTTGCTTGAGTGTCTTGGTCTTCTCACCACTGAAAACTAGTGGATTTTCAGTGGTGAGGAAGGTGGTTTGAAGTCTTGTATAGGGGAGGGACACCCCTCTCCCTTCATTGCCTCATTTCCTTGCCTTTTGGCTTAAAGGGTAACATGCATGCTTGATTGATTTTGGCCCTATTTCAGAGGTTTTTGGGTGTCTCTAGGTCATATGTCATCTCTGTTTTTGGTCGGATTTGTGCCCTTTTGCATGCTTAACATACTTGCTTTACATTCCTCTATTTGGCCTAGAAATGCATCTTGTGTTTAAGCCATGATTCTTGCATGTGTTAGCCTAATTTCATGAAGGTATTGGCATTATTCTACCATGTTTAAGGCCTGTTGGCCATCTGTTTCAGTCATGCTTGCCATGTTTGGTGTCATCTCTTTGTGTTTTGGCTTGTAAGCCTTGAGTATATTGGCCTCTAACATGCGTAGCTTAGACCATCCTCATGATTTGGCATCATTTAGGATCATATTTCAGTCCATAAATCATGTTTGCATGTCTGCATATGTGACCTCTTTCATGCTTTGAGGATGTGCCCTTTTATGGCTAGAAATGAGTCTTGGTGCATGCATCTCATTGGAGCCACTTAAGCTGCCATATCAGTGGGTTTTGGAGTCCATTTTTGCATGCTAAGATTCTGTTTTTGCTTGCCTAATTCATGCCATGCATGGTCATGTTAGTGGAAGTGAAGTGTCCCCTTTTTGTGCCTTAGCTTTAGGTCCATTGGCTTGGGTGTTGGCATGAGTGTTTGTCCACCATTTTGGGCACTTTTGGCCACTGTTTTGGGGTGGATTAAGGTCTGCCCCTTTATGATTTAAGTCCACCAGTGCATGCTTGTCTCATGTTTATTACATGATTGATTCATTAGGTGTTGTAACATGATGATCTTATTGCTCAAATCGTCCATATTTGCATTGCATTTGCATCTTGCATGCCTAGCATTGCATACTTGCCGTGGTAGTTGCATGGCATTTGGTATGCCTTGCATCTCAATCTCATGTTGTATCTTTAGGTCATGTTGCATAACATGCATTGCATTACTTGGTTTGGGGTGTTAAACCAAGTGCGAGGGCTAAGGAGCGTTCATATTACAAGTGATGTAACGCGTCTTAACTCTCGGTCACCGGGGCCCTTGACTTCAACATGATAGGGTCTTGGTCCTCATTTGTGTGTTGCATACATTTTTACATCAAATGGCAAGCTTGATCTCTTAGGCTATCATGCACAATTGATGGCTCGAGGATCGAAGGCCATGCTTCCCTGAGTTCAATACATGATGGGGAACATGACCATGCTCACATGTGCCTGAAATCCCATGCCATATACTGTCTGTCCTCTGTTGCTGTCAAAACTGTCTTCTGCAGGAAGTCTCTGTCGACCGGCAGTGTTCAGTGCTGACCGGCAATCCTTACTGGGCCGATAGCTTCATAAACAGCCGATGGGTATTTTAAATGGCCAGTGGACATTTCTTTCAGCCGATGGTGTTCCACAGCATTCAGAGGACCTGTCCCAAAACTTTGGAAATTTTCAGAGAAGCAGGGCAGTGTAAACAGAGGCGGCAGTGGTATGGTACGGACCTTCCGGGCGAGACGGGTTCGAGCATGCATCATTCGCGCATCCCAAGGCAGGGGCTGTGGCCACCTTTCTTTTTTTGCATTCTTTCTGTTAATTAATTAGAAATTCTGTAATAATTTATGCGTTTATTATTCGGACTGTAATATTTATTCGGACCCTCCGAGTGAGGGCAATTATGTAATAAGTGTGCGTGAGTGTGTGCATGTCTTCCAACTTCACGTCTTTCTTCCCCTTTTATTTACCTGCTTTGATGGTTAGTAATAGGACATGTTTAATTTAGCATACCTTATGCTGTGCATGCGTGCATCATTCATCAGTATTGCATGCACCGGGCTCGGCGCATCATGCTAACTACATTAGTATTTCAAATCTAACTTGAATACATGCTACTTGTGCATTTTCACATGCCATGTTTAGGTTAGCCGAGCCTATTCTAATTGCATCCTGCATGTGTTGCATTAGTCAATTTGACATGAACTAGGACCATGGATGTTGGCTAACTAGTTTATTGTTTTGGCTCGGAGTGCTCGGTAAGCATTTATGCTTTAGCATATCTCATGCGTGTGAATGCTATCATGACAGCATGCTTACCATGTGGCTAGATGCTTATGTGATAAATTGTTTGAATGCCTGTGGGTGAAGGTTGGATTGTCTGAGTTGGAAACACTCGTTGAAATCCATGTTTTAGCCTACTTGCGGGTAGCAAATTCCAAAACATTTTTTCCAAAACAAACGGATATGCAATGTTTATTTTCAAATTAGGCAATCTAGTCTATACTTGTTTGCTGTGCGCATAACATAGTAATTCTAGGCTAATAAATGGAATGAGAACACATAACGTTTTCAAAAACGGATATCACGGTTAGTAGAGGCCGATCTTCGGATCGGGCGAGAGGGGGTGCTCATAGCTGACCTTCCCCAATCGTACCCTAGCTCCCGAGCCGAGGCAACTCTGGTGATGACGGACATGTGGCCTTCGGCACCGAGTCAGGGTTTCCTAAATTCCTCCATAAAAAATATTTAGGTGGCGACTCTGTATCTGGCAAAGCAGTCCATGTTTGGCACTTCTTTTTCTAAAAATCTATTTTCTCAAAACGATTTGCTAGATTTGGACTCTTTGGTTCAAATTAAGAACTGTGACACAAATCGAGTCCGAACTGTAGAGGGGCCCCCCACGCGGGCGCGTCTACAACAGTGCTTCGAATTTTCCTAAACAGTCCGATAGCTCCCCTGCTAGTTGGTTGTTTGAGAGGTCAAGATAGTTGAGTTCCACACCAGAAATTGAACATAAGAAAGAAAGTGAGCCCAAGAACTTATTTTTGGAGAGATCCAAATATGTTGCATTAGGAGGGACTAGTGATATTGGACCCACAAAAAGATTAGAACTTAAATCTATACCCGGATTATCATGAAACTTCAAAGATAGATCAGGTACCAAGCCAAAGATCTTGTTGTGTGAGAGATTTAGAAAATTTAATCCTGGGGATACATCCCAAAACCAACTGGGAACAATGTCCGAAATTCCAACATTAGAGATGTCAAGTATAGAGAATTTATTTTGAGTTCGAAGCCATTTCGGAAAATGAGGCCCCAGCTTGCAAGAAGACAACTCTATAACCTGAAGTTGAAAAGGAGGAACCCAATCGGAATTGGAGTAAAAAATTAACTCATTCAAAGAGAAATCCAAATGAAGCAGACTAGAGAGATTAGAAAAGTGAGCTTCAGAGACTATGCCTTTTAGCGAATTGAAAGAGGCATCGAGAAACTGAAGCTTGGAAAGTTGTCTAATACCTTCATGTATGGTACCATTCAACTGATTGTTTCCAAGAAGTAAACTTTGCAATGACAGAAACACGGAAAGGTCAGGCAGTGACCCAGTTATTTGGTTTCCAGACAAGTCTAGAGAAACAAGACTAGGAAGTTGTTGTCCAAAAGTTTCTGGTAAGGACCCATTCAATTGATTGTATGCAAGGTATAATTCCCTTAAAAGAGATGTTAATGTATCTTATTAATGTATCATAATAATGTATATATTATATATTAATGTATCATATATTAATAGCTATAGGATGACAGAGCATAGGAGCATAGGATTCTTATTATATATTCGGTTGCCTTCGCTTTCGGCTGCTTTCTATTATTATATGTTTTGCTTTCATAATGATGTTGTATAAGCAGCTCCTATATATGGAGTCTCTTCTTACACTTTCAGATATATTGAATACAAGAGTTTTTTTACTCTCTCAATATCACTTTCTTATTTCTTTC